AGGGGGGGGGCAGCAGACAGAGGAGGACAGAGACTGAGAGAACATCATCAGAACCCGGTTCTTTTATTGATCCAAGGGTCAGAGGGTAACCATGACCTATAAACTCCACACTGCCTCCGGTGGACGCACTGCTCAACAACCATCCAAAAGTTAAAGCCCACGTTGGCAGTGCCGTTTGAGACGGGAGGACAGGGGTCCCCCCCCCCCCCCGTCCTCCAGCCTCCCCCGTGTCTCTGCTCCTCACTTTATATTCTGCTCCTGACTCTCACTTTCACACTGATGCTGTTGGGATTGGAACGAGGAGGAGGAGGAGGAGGAGATGAAGGCAGAACATCCATCCTTCTTACCCCCCCCCCCCCCCCTCCCCTCCCCCCCCCCCCTCCCCTCCCCCCCCCCCCTCCCCTGGTGTCCTTACCTCCCCTCTCCTTCTCTGTCCCACTTCTACTGAGTCCATGTTGTCCTCCATCAGTTTTAGACCAGACCGAGGTCTAGACCAGCTGGGACCACCGTCACTGCATGGTCAGACCTAGGACCAGGTCTGGGTTCTCCTCCAGACCTAGGACCAGGTCTGGGTTCTCCTCCAGACCTGGGACCAGGTCTGGGGTGGCCTCCAGGCCGAGGACGGGGGCCGGGNTAATATTTCAACCCATTGATAAAGAAACCCCCCCCCCCCCCCCCCCCCCCAGTCCCATGAATAGTCAATCAGGTCGCTGTATTTCCATAACCAGTCGGACTGTGAGCCAACATCTCAGTTCTGTTTTTCTGTTTCTACATCAGAGTGGGCGTCGACGCTGAAACACAGATGGCTGCAGGGCTGCAGGTCAGCCTGCAGGGGGCAGGTCAGAACAGAGGTCCCAGCAGGCCAGCAGCACCTTCACTCAGTCACAGAGAGCTGGTGGTACCGATGAGTTCCTGTTCCTGCTCGTTAGAGGAACATCAGTGGGTTCTTCCTTCATCTGCAGAGAAGAACAAACACCCAGGCACTGATCGAGGATTCAAGATGAATTGTGGGTAAAAATGAGGAGCGAGGAGACGAGGGGAGGTCTTCAGACAGAAACCGGTTCCGTGGAGAACCGATTCAGAGCCGAGTGTCGTGGGCTGTCATGGAAACAGATGTTGTTCTCACCACCTCTGCACACATATGGTCCTACAGAAAGACAGAAAAAAGACAAAGTAAGCCACAAGTAAGAGCAAGTTAAGTGAGCCAAAATATAATATAAAATTAAAATTAAAAATAAAACTTTATGAATATCTATACTATGATATTTATAGAAACATTACAAATTAAAATTAAACAGACAAAAATGTGGGTTGCTGACAACAACGTTTGACATTCTGGGCCACGTACCTGACTTCCTAACATTACTTTCTTCTTAGACTTTTGAAAAACTTTTAAAAGGGCAAAATTTCTTTATTCCTAATTAATAGAGGTCTAAAAACTACTGTTACAGACTTGTGTAGACCAACAATGCCTCCCTGAGAATAAAGGCCAGTTCTTTTCTAACTTTTCTTCCTCCCCTCCAGCGGAGGAGCCGTGCCAGGGCTCAGTCTGCCGAGTGTCGAGGAGGAGCGCTAACGAGACCCAACCAGCGAGGAGGTGAAGCTGCCAAGTGGTGACCTCTGACCTCCTACAGGCGTTCTCTCTGACTGTGGGGGGGTCACGGTGCCCACGCTCGCTGCGAGGGTCAG